GGGGCCGCCTTGTCTTCAAGGCTTTAAGCTGATGTAAACGATTCCAGATGGTCTGCTCAGCCTTTTCCCTACAGAGATCAAAAGAGGCAAAACTGAACCAAAAATAAACTACAGAGCAATATAAGAGAGTGGGACAATGGGACGAAAATGAAAACCACCCTCAACCCTTTAAATCAACATCTACCATTTAGGTTTAAGGATGGTAGGTGGGAGGCCAACTGAAGAAGCACCACTTGCAATAATTCACCTTTCCTAAAAAGACACCCTTCCTGCACATCTCCAAATCCTGACAAGCCTTTAAGCCAGCTGTAGAAACATTAACCCTAGAGCATGCCTTGCACACAGAAACAAAATAAGAAAGAGGGTATGTTCACCTCTGATGGATGCTACCCACCTCTGTTCAGAACTCTCTCACCAAGTCACTGATCATACCCTAGCCCAGGCTGCTGCATCATAAACATAGGCCATTATTCAAAAGAAAAACCTTAGAAAAGTTGCGTGGCTCAGCACACTGTTTCCTCATCTGTAACAGCACCAACCTCACAGGGTTGTTGTGAGAATTAAATTTGCTGATGCACGTACAGTGTGCACACAGAACTTGACACATGGTACATGCTCAGCAGATTCAGCCAGTTGTATCAAGACCATCTTCACTGTGGGAAAACTGCAAGTCCTGCTGACAGGTGCTGTCGGTCATCCCCACAGGTAGGCCAGCCAGGCACCATTAGCTCTGGCACTATTACATAAGATGATACTCACTCCTAGGGAAAGAACAAATTCGTACCTGATAGAACATGTGACGAGGAGGATCACATCAGCCTGGATGGAGAGCAAGGAAAAAAAGGGAAGTTGTGATCTTTGAAATTAGCCTTGTAGAGTCACTGCCCTGCAGCCCCTTATTATTTTTATTATTGTGGTAAAATACACATAACATAAAATTTATCATTTTAACCACTTTTAAGTATGCAGTTCTGTGGCATTAAAAACATTTGCATTATCATGCAACCATCACTACCATCCACCTCCATAACTATTTCATCTTTCCCAACTAAAACGCTGTACCCATTAAACACTGTCTCCCCTCCCCACAACCAGTTTTTTAACTGAGCTCCTTACCTGAAGGTGCATATCATCATAAAAGTTTCAAAAATAGCCGGAACAAAAGTACACTCAGTCCCATGGTAAACACTTCACCCAAGGGAGCTCTCTCACACCAGACAGCACCCAGCTCCTGATACTGCTCTAAGAACTGGCACAAATGCAGAGTCTCACCCAGGCCCAGGAAACAAGGGGAAGTACGAAATGCATGCACCTCTTGCAGATTACTGGTCCGCAGGTAGCCACTCTTCTGTAAGATAGACCAGGCTATCTCCGTGTCGTTCACATTCATCTGGCAACCGTAGGTCTCGAAGTAGACTGCAATGAGAGGGGGATTCCATAGCAGGCAGAAACAAGGAGCCACATGTCTGAAAAGGTCTCTTTCCCAAATGCCCCAGAATCAGCTGAGGCATGGTTATCCACCAAATCCCCTGTTGCCTTCATTCTAACATTAATTGCCAGATGTACTCCAAAATTAATGACAGCCTTTCAGAACAAAAGAAATACTACATTATATATACACACCATTTATAAGTCATGTCATTTAAAATACGGGGAAAACATGTACTTGAGAATCAAAGAAATATGGTTATAAGAACAATTAGAAAAGGAAGGACTAGCTGATAGTGTTTATTGGCCTGAGGGGAAAATAAGTTTAATGCACATATTATACTCCTCTGCTTCAAAATGGAGAGGTTCCCCAGCCACTGGAAATATTAATCACAGCAGTGGCCAGAAGGTACATAAAGCCACCAAATAAAAATGATGCATCTTCTCACAGTAACTTCGAACGTCTTAAATGAAAGCAAGGCTGTGTTATGAATTAAAACACAAATTCTGCACATAGTTGTAAGAACATGAATTTCACACTCTAGCAGCCCCTTCGATCTAAATTCCTAGATCAACCCCTACCCCACCACTAGGCTTTAATCTCACACTCAAATAAATTCCAAATGCAGTTAAAAGTTGAATGACAATCATATGAAAACCAAGAGAAAACAGCAGTTATTATTATTTTTTTTTTTTCTTGAGACACAGTCTTGTTCTGTTGCCCATGCTCGAGTGCCGTGGCGTCAGCCTACTTCACAGCAACCTCAAACTCCTGGGCTCAAGCGATCCTTCTGGCTCAGCCTCCCAAGTAGCTGGGACTACAGGTATGCACCACCACGCCCAGGTAATTTTTTCTATATATTTTTAGTTGTCTAGCTAATTTCTTTATTTTTTTAGTAGAGATGGGGTCTCGCTCTTGCTCAGGCTGGTCTTGAACTCCTGACCTCAAGTGATCTTTCCGCCTTGGCCTCCCAGAGAGCTAG